TGCTCGCCTTAAGCTGAAGAGCTGAAGGACAGCGCTCAGGTCCAGAGTTCAAGCCCCACGGCCGACAAAAAAAAAATCATTTTGATATTACTTGAATATTTAATACAGTGGGAATTCTGTGTAAATCATTGCTTCACTGTATAGTTTGAAATAAGGACTAGAAATGAGCAAAGGATGAGGAGGCAGGAAATAAGATTTTTGTTGGAAATGAGATCTTATTTAAATATTCAAAGGACTGTCCTGTAGAAATTGGAAGATTATCTGAGCAGAGTGGTGCCTACTTGTAATCCCAGCTACTTAGACATTAGAAGTATGAGGAGTACAGTCTGAGGCTGACTAGGGCAAAAGTTTGAGACCCTATGTGAAAAACATCTAAAGTAAAAAGGGCTTAAGTAATGGAATAGCACTAGGCCCTGTATTCAAGCCCAGTATTGCAGTCAATCAGTATTTTTTTTTTGTCCAAAACGGGACTCAAATTCCTTATCTGACACTAGCTTATGCTCATTGGCTGGTGCTCTGATGACCTGAACCACGCCTCTAGCACCTAAAAATTACTTCGTTTTTCAAAAATTTTTCTTTTTGCTGGACACCAGTGGCTCAAGCCTGTAATCCTAGCTCTACTCAGTAGGCTGAGATTTGAGGACTGTGGTTCAAAGCCAGCCTGGGCAGGAAAGTCTGTGAGACTCTTTATCTCCAATTAGTCACAGAAAAAGCCAGAAGTAGAGTTGTAGTTCAAGTGGTAGAGTGGTAGGTTTGAACAAAAGGAGATTAGGGAAAGCACTTAGGCCCAGAGTTCAAGCTCAAGGACCAGCAAAAAAGAAAAAGTACAAAAACAAAAAAGCTATAGGATAGCACCCAGATCTCCATCCGCAGTACTGGTGTGTACACACACACACACACACACACACACCACACACACACACACACACACACACACACTTTTTTCTTTTTATGGATTATGCTTTTTGAGTCATTACTTTAAAATTTATTGTGTAATTAAAGATTGCAAAGTTTTTTTGTTTTTTTTTTTTTGGTTCCGGTCATGGGGCCTGAACTCTGGGCCTGGGCGCTATCCCTCAGCTCTTCAGCTCAAGGCTAGCGCTCTACTACTTGAGCCACAGCGCCACTTCTGGCTTTTTTCTTTTTGCTTATGTGGTGCTAAGGAATCGAACCCAGGACCTCAGGCATGCAAGGCAAGCACTCTACCACTGAGCCACCTTCCCAGCCCCTACAAAGTTTTTTGTTTTTGTTTTTGTCAGTCATGGGCTTGAACTCAGAGCTTAAGTACTGTACCTGAGCTCTTTTTGCTCAAGGCTAGTGCTCTACCACTTTGAGCCACAGTACCTCTTCCAGTTTTCTGGTGGGTTCATTGTAGATAAGAGTGACATGAACTTTTCTGCCTAGACTGGCTTTGAACTGTGATCCTCTAGATCTCAGCTTCCTGAGTAGCTAGGATTATAGGCCTGAGCCACCAGTGCCTGGCTTATAAAAGTATTTTTTAAAACAAGTTTTATATATTTATGTTGAAATTGTTTTGGGAAGGGAGAGTAATAGAGGAGGTAAGCTTGACTGGAATATATTGTAAACTTGTGGAAAGAAATTCCTGTGTAACGAATGTAGGCAAATAAAAATGCTAAAAAAAAGTTTTATAGGTTTAGGTTTTTTAGTAGGGGGGCTATTTTTAGTTGGCATGTTATTTAAGTTGAATATTGAATTTCATTCTTTTTTGCAAATAGCTGTCCTTGTTTTAGCACCATTAATTGAAAAGATTCTTTCCCTATTGAATTATCACTGCGTTTTTGTTGTTTCTAGAGTTCTTTATAAATATTACACACACACACACACACACACACACACACACACACATACACACAGTTATTGTTGTTTGGTGCTGGTTGTGGGGCTTAAACTTGGAAATATCTCATCTTTGTACTTGGGTCTTTCCTACTATATCTTCTTTGATGTAACATCTCTTCAGATATTTGGGCAAAGTTTTCATATGTGTTCCCTACTTTTCTTGTAAATTTTTCTGACTAAATCTTCTTTCTATATAATTGTGTCCAGACTATTAATTTGAAAGAGCTTGATCTACTTTGATCTACTTTGCTTTTCCGGTTAAGCTGTGTACAGGGTAGTAGATATTATTTTGTTGTTGAGAAATGTCTCCCTCAGGCATTCTGTCATTCAGTCATTCTGCTTCCATTTAATATGGAGTACAAACAGGAGATGCTTCTACACCTGATTGGATCAACACTCCCTCACTTACTAGGTGGGCATGAAGAAGAATCTGGTTCTAGAACAGTTTTTCCATATTGTAGTTTGTTCTTCAGTGTTTAACATCATCATCTCAGTATTCTCAAATGCAACCAGTACTGCTCATAAAGATAATAATAAAAATATATGTAAACTTGAGAAGTAAGTTTAAACATTTAGAATAATACATAAAATCAAAGAAGAATCAGCAAATGTTTGTTTGCTTTTTGTAGGGTACATCTGTAACCTCCTCAAAAGTTGTTACCACACAATAACTTATTTATGTGTTCAGTATTTTAAAAACCAAACTATTAGAATGCTTTCTACTTTTTCAGTGGTACTAGACTTTGAACTCATGGTCTGGTTCTTGATAGCTCTACTACTTGAGCCATACTCCAAGACCTGTTTTTGTTTTTTTATTTTGAAATAGTCACTCTTTACCTCAAACTCAAAATTCTCCTGTCTTAGCCTCTTTTTTTTTTATTGTGAAAATACTGTACAGAGGAGTTACAATTACATGGGCAATATAATGAGCACATTTCTTATCAAGCATTGTAGCCTCCTCCTTTGTTTCCCCTTCCCATCCCTTCCCATCCCCCCCTAGACTTACCCCCCCCCCCAAAGTTGTAAAGTTCATTTTCGACATAATGACTTGTACATCTCATTGTTGCAGTGGGTCCACCTGTATCCTATTTAAACAATTTGTTTTTTCCCTTCCCCTCCACAAATTATACCAACATCAAATACAGTGAAAGCAGAGGTTATACTGTGGGGGAGGGACATACAAAGCAACAATGAAATAATCTTATAAATGTGTTAGAAAGAATCGCCTGAAAGAAAAAAACATTTGAATACATATCTTGGGGTTCATTTCCCTAACATCAACTTATCTGACCTTTTCTGCTTGTCTCAGACATATACTAGTTATTGCAAATAAGGGAAACCATGGGACCTATGTTTCTTTGGGCCTGGCTTACTTCACTTAATAGAATTTTTTCCAAGTCTTTCCATTTCCTAACAAATGGGGCAATGTTCTCCTGTCTTAGCCTCTTAAGTGCTGGGATTATAGGAATGTATCACCACATCAACTTCTTTGTACATTTTATTTATGGTGAAACATTATTTTACTATTTTGATTTTTTTAAAAAAGATTTTAAGATGCCATTTTGATTTTTGTCTTTTCTAACTTTTGTGAGTTCCATTTTCAAATAACATTTAGTGTAACAGAAAGCCTCACAGCCCATTAATCATATTTTGATTTGTATGTAGAAGTGTTCTTAAGTATTTCAAATTCAGCTATTAAGTTATTAAAATACTATATATCATTATGAAATTAGGTATGTGCTTCTGGGAAACTTTTGAAAGTTATGCTTCTTCCAAATAAACCCTTTTCATCTCTTAAATTGGAAATAAATAAAACAAACTAGTATGTATGTATGAATATATAAATGTACTTTCTTATCTCTCTGGCATTCTAATGATTGCACCCAGAAGGATAGCAAAAAGCAGGGGCTGGGGACATGGGGATAGTGGTAGAGTATTTGCTTAGCATATTAGATAGAGGTGTAGGGTTTAATGTTCAGTACTGCTCCCCCAATGATAGTAAAAAGCAACTTTGATCCAACATATATTTTCTTCCCTTAGTTGATACAAATATTTGAATATTCCTAAAGTTCAACAACTATAAGTTGATCCATCTTATAACAGTGATATATATATATATATATATACATATATATTCATATATATTCATATATATATATTCATATATATATATACATATATATATTCATATATATATAATATATATATATTCATATATATATTCATATATATACAGTGTGTGTGTGTGTGTGTGTGTGTGTGTGTGTGGTTTTTAGCCCAGGGAATACTTAGCAAGATCTGGAGACATTCTTGGTTGTAATAACACAGTGTTGGTGTTGGGTGGTAAGAGCTACTGACATCTAGGGAGTGAAGGCTAGGGGGTGCTGCTAAACATATTGCAAAGTATAAGATCTTATTCTTTTTCACCTAACATATAAGAAAGAATTACCCAGCTCAAAAATGTCAGTAATACCAATGTTGAGAAACTTTACCTAGATAATGTAAGGCCTCAGGTGGGCCATCTTAAAAAATGTGTATTTAACCCATCACAGTATTTATAACCCAAAACTGAAACTTAGTGCTAATAGTGCCATTTTATTTGTCATTTAAGATTATTATTGAGTCCATAGAACAACTCTTAAAATTCAGCTTGAGATACTGATTTTACTTTCTTTTTGAAGCACAGAGAGCAATTTATTTCCACTGTGTGATAGGTAGCTAGAGTTTAGATTTCATTTCCTCATTCTATTTGTCAGGCTACAGGATAGGGATTGCCTACGACTTCAGTATTATTTTGGAGGAATGCTTTTTTTATTAGTATAAATTATGTGTACAGTTTTGGGGGCTTATTAATACCTTTCTATACATATGTTACAAAGGATCCCAATCTCACTTTCTTATTCCATTTCCCTTTCTTAAAATAAATTTCAGCAAGTTTCATTGTTCTATTTTCATACATTCAAACAAACAACTTGACTATATTAATTGTTATGTACCCACCAGAGGAATTCTGTTTCCTTTATAATCTTAGGTAATGTTTGTATATCACCTCACTTAAATATTTATTTTGAAGTGAATATTAGTATAAGGATATTTAGATATCTTAGTAACTTAAAACTGATTAATTTTCATTTTATTAACAGGGCCAGGAGAAGGTCTGGGAAAAATAATCCAGAGATTTCCACAGAAGGACTGGGATGATACACCTTTTCCACAGGGAATTGAATTGGTAAATGAGTATTATGTTTTGATGATGATATTTTTCTTTCTAAAATATTGTATTTCTATTTGCATTACTTTATGTTTCCTGTTAAATAATTTGATGAAATTCCTGAAACATACTCCTAGAAATAATTTGTTCCTCTCTTATATCACTAAATCTGTTGATTCTGGTATACCTGTTCTGTACTCTTATTTTTCCCACTGAAGGTAAAATTCATATTTATATACTCAGAAACATTAAAAACTCTGATTATTTAGTAAAAATCTTAGCCTAAATAGTTTACATATTACTAAGCAAATACTGTATTTTCTCTGAAAATTCCCAGCTTTTTGTATAGCGAAAACAAAGCAATAACACAGACAAGAAACTAAATGTTCCTTTAATGGCTATCAGTTATGGTTTGAGTTGGTCTTGAAATCACAAATCTGAATTCTTTCCTTGTTAACTACAGAGTTTGCAAGTTTCCTTTTTTGTTAGTCAGTCCATGGGTATTTAGTGATTGGATGTAGTTTATAATGGCCTGGCCATTCTGTTTATCTTAATACCATGGCAGACTCATGGAGGGTGGTAAAAAAGAGAATTAGAAAGATGGTCACTAAAGATTTCCAAATATGACTTTAGAGTTTGGTTCTTTAAACATCATAGAGAAAGAGAAAGAAGTGACAAAGAGGAATGTGTGTTGGCTATGTATGAGTGAGGGAGAAAGGGAGAGAAAGAGACAGAGAGGGAAGGAAGAAGGGAAAGGGGACATTTTTATATCATGTTTAGGTTAAGATATATGTATGAACAGTTTTCTTCCAAATAGTTCTTGTTGAGAAAATCGCATGGCATAATATGACAGTTAGAGTGCAGACTCTGAGGATGTACACAGTGGCTCACATCCATAATCCTAGCTACTTGGAAAATAGAGATTGGGGGATCATGGCTCAAGGCTAGCCTAGGCAACAATTTTATGAGACCCTCATCTCAATGAGTAAAAGCTGGTTGTGGTGGTATGTACCTATTATTTCAATTATACAAAAATAGAATTGAGGTTCAGACTTCTTATCTAGGCAAAAGGGCAACATTACTTGGGAAATAACCAGAGCAGAAAAGTGCTGGGAATGTGGCTCAAGTGGTAGAAGCTCTGAGTTCAAAGTTCAGTACTGGGAAAAAAAATTCAAGCTCTGAAGTAGGCTGCCTGGGATGAAATCCTAGGCAGCCATATGATATGACTTTTGACAAGTTACTTAATGTATTTGCTCATCAGAACCTTTATCCATAAAGTACTAATCTCACAGAGTATTATACAGATAAAATGGGAAAAGATACACCTAAAACACATAATACCATACCTTCTATAAAACAAATGTTCTATAAATGAGGTAGACGGTTATTTATTATCACTTGTTGTTGTTGAAGTATCTCAGTATCTCTCAGTATCTCACTCAGAGGAAGAATTGTTTATTCTCTTGTTAGCATGTATCAGAAATGTCTGTTGGGAATAAAATGTTGAAAATTGTAAATTTCTTCATCTTCATTGATGACTCATTGTACTTTACTAGGATGAAAGATACATTGCTGAGTACTTAGTTTTATTTCTTATATTGCAACCACCTAAAAAGGGTTGTGAGTTTATAGGCTCACAGAGAGGGTAAATCTTGAATTTTGGCATTAAAAAAGGAGGACTATAAGGATCTAAAGGAAATGGCTGTTTAGAGAGACCCTTGCATTCCTTTCTTTTCTCCCTCACATGCCTTCACATACAAGTAATTGGCCTGACCATAAAAGGTTACTATAAAAGCTTTGAAACTCTGATAGTACATCCTTTTTAGTGATGACTGAAAGTGGAAAATTGGGTGCTAGTGAACTGATTCTACTTTTCTGTAAGTTTCTACTTCCCACAGTGAATTGTGGAGGTTTAGAAATGATATCAGTTTGACAGTATGAAAAGTGATTCACTTTCATAGCTTTCTAGAACAGCAGTCATTATGGAAGCAAAGTGAGACCATGGATTCATCATAGCTGAATTAAAAAGGATACTTTTTATGTTTTGAAAACCAAGGGAATAGATGCTTCTGATATTTTTCAGTAGCAAGGAAGAAATAAACATTGATTTTACTACTTAGAAAAAAATATATTTTTCTCTATGTGATAAAACTGCTATGTTCAATTGCTGTTAGTGCCTGTACAGGTGGAGTTAATGTCCTGCTGGGTTAGTGAAATGTGGGTGTCAGAGGTAGACAGACTTTTTTTACTTAAGGCTTTCTTAGATGATATCATGACAGGTTTTTAGCATACTATTTCAAAGTTTTATGGGGTATATTAATACTTAAAGAATATTTAAGATGTTAGATTATGTTGTAAATTTTTAAACTTTTTTTCCTAATTGCTAATAGTTCTGATTCTTTAGTATATATTATGCTTCATCAAACACAAAATAAATTTATTATATATCAAAGTTCATTACAACAGAATAAATTACTGCTAATGTTTGTGGCCTCAAAATTATTTATTGCCTTTCTTTTTTTTGTGTGTGTGTGGTTTTTTTTTTGGGTCCGGTCGTGGGGCCTGAACTCTGGCCTGGGCATTGTCCCTCAGCTCTTCAGTTCAAGGCTAGCGCTCTACCACTTGAGCCACAGCGCCACTTCCAGCTTTTTTCTTTTTTGTTTATGTGGTGCTGAGGAATCGAACCCAGGGCCTCAGGCATGCAAGGCAAGCGCTCTACCACTGAGCCACCTTCCCAGCCCCTATTTATTGCCCTTCATGTATTAGGGATTTGTTATTATTCTGCATATAAACAGCAATAATTTAGATAACTGTAGTATCCTCCTATTGTGTCAAAAACAAAGACAGATATAATGAAATGTGATCTAATTTGGCCCAGTCCCTATTGTGCATTAGTGACTTTTTTTGTGTATACAGGCAAAGTCATTTTCTTTCCAATATAGAATTATGCGGGCTGGGAAGGTGGCTCAGTGGTAGAGTGCTTGCTTTGCATGCATGAGGCCCTGGGTTCGATTCCTTAGCACCACATAAGCAGAAAAAGTCAGAAGTGGCATTGTGGCTCAAGTGTTAGAGCGCTAGTCTTGAGCTGAAGAGCTGAGGAATAGCACCCAGGCCCAGAATTCAGGCCCCATAACCAACCAAAAAAAAAAAAAAAAAAAAAAGACAATTACTTTTAGTGTATAACATTAAATTAATACCTAAACAGTTGTATAGCATGGATAGACTATCATTATTTACATGATAGTAACTTAATAATTGGTAATCATGCATTAATTTACAAGTAAATAAACTGAGGCTTAGCAAATTTAAATAATTTTACCAAGTCTGACAGCCAGGATGCAACAGAGCTAGTATTCAAACCCAGGTCTTTAACTCTTAGTTTCAGTAAGGATGTGAGAGTATTCTAGAAATGACATTTTAAGCTATGTTAGCATTTATATTTTAGTATAAATACAGGATCTGAAAATAGAATTCTGTAATTTGGAAGACCTGAGGTTAAAAAAATGTTGAAAGAATGCTGCTTATATTAGTCAGCTTTACATGACTATAATGAAATACTTGACACCGGCTACTTCACAAGAAGAAGGTTTATTTATAAGCTCATATGTTTGTAATATTGTGGCATATTTTACAGGTTCTGTGGCATAGAAAAATGGAAATTGGCTGCATAATCTGGCAACACAGATAGCAGGGGTGAGAATGTATGCAGAAGCAAGCAGGTGATAACAGCTTATACAAGGGTCATAAAAAATGGGATATTCCAGAATTGTTCCTTTTATAACAGCCCTCAGGAGAACTACCAAGGAGAGTCCTACATGCCTCTAGTGAACAATGATCTCCCACTTCCCAGTCCAAGTTTTCTTGGCAACAAACTTTTGGGGGATACCTACATTATATCCAAATCATAGCACTGTATTATTGAATGGAGACCAACTTTACCTACCTAAGTGTATTTAGAAACAAATAGAGGTTCAGAGCATACTATATCGAAATTACTTTCTGTTGCCATCTCTTCTTCTCAGGTACTACCTATTTGATATAGATAAATTCTAAATGAAAGACAGATTGGTCAAATCATTCTGATTGGTTAAATCAACATAATTAAAGTTTAATTTGAAAACTAAACTATACAACTTGTAGAAAATAACTTTAAGCATTCATCCACTAATAAATTGAATCTCAAATGTAATTTAGAGGATACTGAATTCTTTACATTTTTACGTAAAGAAGTTATATTCTTTTTCTTTTATTTAGAAATGGTGAACTTTTATTTGGAATGATTTTAAAAATAAAAATATGAAAATAAGTGAAACCAAACATAATGACTGCTTTTCTAGTTCTGGGATATTTTTGTCTTTTTCTTGTGCTTTTTAGGCATACACAGAAACCACAGACAGTCATATAAATAAAATTGAAAGTTAATTTTAGTAATAGTATTTCAAAGAAAATTAAAGAATTGTTTTCCAGAGGTATTCTATAGTTAACAATCTATTCATGATTATGAGAAAAAATGTTTTTATTGGCTAGGTGTCGAACATCAACAATAGTATTTCTTTGGCACCAGTTCCTTTTTAAGGTACCCTGTCTCAAAAGTGAATCTTTTTATACTATAATTCAGAATGCCTTCACTGAGTCATTTATAGTCTAACTAATCTTCTTAGAAGACCAAAGTACCGTGATTATCTTGTGGCATGAAAAAGAATAAACAGTCAGAATTTCTGAATTTGAAGTTCTTAAGAAATTAGTTAAATTACATTCTACTGATTTGATTGTCTTTTAGTATGGGAAGAAGAGGAAAAAAACCCCATATTTTGTGTTCTGCAGATAGATGTAACTAAGAAGTATCTTGAATATGGGATGCTATTTGAGAGCAGAGAAGTAACTACAAGTTCCATGTAATGCTTTAATTGTTTAAGCTGTTTAGAATATGTTAAACATAATAGATGGGGCAGCAGCTGTGCATCCAACCGAGATAGAAATACTGTTTGGTCTGAGGATTGAGTCAAAAGAACATAAGA